TAGATATCAAAATATAGAATGTCATACTTGAATGTATAATTACATATATAATAATTATTATTATAATATTAATAAATATATAAATCAGTATAGTATAAAATTAATTATTTAGATATTGAAATTTTGACTAAATATTATTTTTGTGTAGTTGATTAATGAAACAATTTGCTTATACTTTCTTTTGAATTATTTTATAAAATGTAAGTTAGATATAATCGAAATAATTCTTAAAAAGTTAATTATAGTATTTTTAATATAATTATATATAATTTAAATTTAAATAAACTATGTTTATCAATTTATAAATATCAAAATTGAAGCATCTAAAAGTGTGATTAGTGATTAATAACTTCATGTTCAAATTTCAAACTAAAACACTATGTAATTAATTCAATATTTTAAATTTTAATATTAAAAAAATATTTAAAAAATATAATAAATTGTAATTTTATTCATATTAATATGATAAAATAAATAAATAGTGAACTAATGTCACATCTTTATTCTCACCAACCTCCAGATTAAATTGACCCACCCACTCTTTGATTTTTCCAATAGTTTACCAAACTAAAGTAAAGAATTATAAAGCCCTCAATTTTGAACACCCAAATCAAGATTCATCACATCTTTTGTTTCTCTACTCCAATTGGTGTTTTTGTTTTTTGTGTATCCATAAATGGGTAGTGAAACAAAGGTTTATACTTTGGAAGAAGTAGCCCCTCACAACAATGCCAAAGATTGTTGGCTTGTTATTAGTGGCAAGGTATTTTGTCTTTCTGATCTTTGTATATACTTTTATCCCTTCACCCCCTTTTTGATTTAATTTAATGGGGTTGCTGTTTCTTGTACTTTTTTGTTCAAATATATGCTAAAGATTCAATTTTTGGGTCTATTAGGGAATCTTGTAGTTTTTGTGATCTATGTAATTGCCTTTAGTTTACTGGGGTTGCTGTTTCTTGTACTTTTTTGTTCAAATATATGCTAAAGATTCAATTTTTGCGTCTATAAGGGAATCTTATAGTCTTTGTGATCTATGTAATTACCTTTAATTTACTGGGGTTGCTGTTTCTTATGTTTTTTTGTTCAAATATATGCTAAAGATTCAATTTTTGGGTCTAATAGGGAATCTTATAGTCTTTGTGATCTATGTAATTGCCTTTAATTTACTGGGGTTGCTGTTTCTTGTGTTTTTTGTTCAAATATATGTTAAAGATTCAATTTTTGGGTCTTTATTATGGGAAACTTATGGTCTTTGTGATCTGTGTAATTACCTTTTTGCCTTTGATTTAATGGGGTTGTTGTTTCGTGTGCTTTTTTGTTCATATATATGTTAAAGATTCAATTTTTGGCTCTATATTAGGGGCAACTTATAATCTTTGTGATTTCTGTATTTACCTTTATGCCTCTACCCCTTTTGGTTTATTATACTGAGGTTGCTGTTTCTTGTACTGTTTTGTTCAAATATATGTTAAAGATCCAATTTTTGGCTCTTTATTAGGGGAAGCTTATAGTCTTTGTGATTTCAGTATTTACCTTTATGCCTCCACCCTTGTTGATTTAATTTACTGGGTTGCTGTTTTCTTGTGCTTTTTTGCTCAAATATATGTTAAAGATTCAATTTTTGGCTCTTTATTTGGGGCACCTTATAGTCTTTGTGATCTCTGTAATTGCCTTTCTGCCTCCACCCCTTTTGGTTTAATCTATTGGGGTTGTAGTTTCTTGTTCAAATATATGTTAAAGATTCAACTTTTGGCTCTTTATTAGGGGAAACTTATAGTCTTTGTGATCTCTGTAATTACCTGTTTGCCTTTAGTTTGCTGGGGTTGCTGGTTCTTGTGCTTTTTTGCTTTAAGTATATGTTGAAGATTCATTTCTTGTGCTTTTTTCAAATGTATGTTGAAGATTCAATGTTAGGGAATATCTATTAAAGATTCAATCTTTGGGTCCTTTATTTGTGGCAATAGTGGCAGATATAGAGCATAGGTTTTGGGTTCACGAACCAGTGGCTTTTGCGCAGACCCTAAGAAATTCATGTAACATACATAAGGATGTTATTGTGAACCCAATTGTTATTGTATATTAACTTTAGATCGTAGTAGGAACCATAAATTTCAAATCCTACATTCACATCTGTGTGACAATTTATAGATATAGTCTTTGTGATCTCGTAATTACCTTTCTGCCTCCGCCCCTTAAAGGTTCAATCTTTGGTAAGATACGAGTTTCCAAAAAAAATGGTTCAGCCTTTGGCTCGTAATTTTTGCCAAGGTATAATCTTGGTGACCTGTAAAATTAGCTTTCTGCACCCCCTTTTGGATAGCTTTTTATGCTTTGTGTAACTTGATCGTAAAGATTAGAAAATGAAACTTAAGGATTCAACTTTTGACTGCTTCTGTTCATTGTTGTTTTTATTGATTTTTTTTTTCTCTCCATTCTTTTTGTGTTTCGAGCAAAAGCTTGTTAAGAGGTCTGAAAAGGGGTGAATAGTGTCTGCGTTAGCATGATGAGTGATGACATTATTGACATTTTGGAGTGCTGAGATTTGTGCTTTTCATTTTGTTGACATTTGGTTGATGGGTCATCGTTGTCTGTGGGTTGTGTCTACGTCTTAAATTCAACTTATCTCAACTTGTTTCAACATGAATTTGATACGGTCTTGAAAAACCCTCCCATGTTAATTCATGCCTATTGCCATTGGGCTTTTCCTTCTAAAAGCAAGTATCAAAGAATCTTATACTTTGTACCTTTGAAACTTTTCCGAAGAAAGTTATAATCTTGTATTGCCCTTAATTCATGATAGCAAAGCATGGTAAATTGCTTTTCAACCTTCCGTTGTGCCTTCCCTAGTACCTAGGAGAGAAACATAAAAATTTCATCGTATTTTGTTTTTGCTTAGGTTTGTTAGTATACTTTGAAGTTTACTATTTTTATAGAAAACGGAATAATTATCTCCTTGCTTAGGCCATAAATTGATGAGATAAAAAGAATAGCCAGTTCAAGCGTAACTGGATTAGTGTAAATTTGCGATATTATAACTTCGTCTTGGTGAAATGTGTAGTGCTCACAAGTTAGTGATAAGATTATTTTGTTACTATGAGTTCTCTGGATAAAAGTTGTTTAACTTTCAAGTGGTAATATGCAATTTTACCGTTTACTGGAAGGACTGATATTAAATATAACATCACAAAGCTGGGGTCATTCAATTTTTTTTGTTCTACACCCGAGAAGTTTGTATGAGGTTCATTGACTGATATCGATCTTTTATTTGATAGGTGTATGATGTGACAAAATTCTTGGACGATCACCCTGGTGGCGATGAGGTTTTATTGGCTGCTACTGGTAATATACTTTGACCAACTTTTTCCTACCAAAACCACACATTGTAACTTACAAGTTGTTTTTCAATAGTATCAAATTGTAAAGCTGAGTAGAACATTGCTTTACTCTGGAATCGTGCCATCCAGTGGCGGATCTAGGCCAGACTCAGCGGATTTTCAATAGAAATCGTTACGTCTAGCTCACTGACTCTAAATTTTGAATTTCTAGTAGTGCTATCTTTGAAAAATTGATGTAAAAAGCTTGGTAATTCTTTAGAAAACGATGTTTTATGGGATGGAAATTTGGTGCAGGAAAGGATGCAACCGATGATTTTGAGGATGTTGGTCACAGCAGCAGCGCTCGAGCCATGTTGGACGAGTACTACGTAGGGGATATTGATTCAGCAACCATCCCGACTAAAAAGACGTACACTCCTCCCAACCAGCCTCATTACAACCAGGACAAGACATCCGAATTCGTAATCAAGCTTCTCCAGTTCTTGGTTCCCCTGATCATTTTGGGCGTAGCAGTTGGCATCCGCTTCTACACCAAACAATCCGCTTGAAGATTGAATGCAACGGTAAATTCATAATAAGAGTCCGAATTTGCAAGATGTCACCCTCGATTCAAAAAAATATATCGAGTTTTACTTCTTAGACTTCATATAGTCGTATGTTCTTGTTGTAATAGATTGTTGAGTCAATCCTATAGAGTGTGGATTCAAGATTTTAAACTTGAGATGTTCAACATTTTAAGGTTCTTAGTATTGAATTCGACGTACCTTTGAAATTATGGGTTCAAAACTTGATATTTGTTGAAATTTCAGCGGCTTCACACACCACACACACATGCATATCTATATTTTGTGTTGAAACTACTGAGTTCAGTCAAACCTATTAGACAAAAGTTGTTAATGTACTCCCATATTTATGTCATGCTACAATTATGTTGCTTGAATTCTTCAAAAATGTTGATGTACGTGTGTCAGATCCTCCAACGGGGGATTCAACATAGGTTTGAGAGTCCGAGCAACATAGATGCTGAATCATGATTATCCTATTTTTGTCATCCTGATAGTGTCATGTGGAAATTCATAAAGGGCTTATTATTGCTGCAAAATGCCTAAAGAATGAAACCTAGGCCCATCATCTTCGAGTTTCAAATCTAGAGTTTGACTCAACGGTTGGCTCCAGACTGATTTCTCGATCATCAAAATACCTTGAAAAGGTTTAAAGATATGACCTACTTTTCTATTGAATGAAATGAAAAACTTGAATCCCGTTCACTTCACCGGTGAAACTAGGAGAAAAATTAGGCCTATTACAACATGTGAACTCGAAGCAATAAGTAGATCCGTTTGGATCTGGTCCTATCTGACCCAACCCTGGAACATAGAACGACCGACCAGTTGTGAAGTTCATAATAAGGCTCCAAATTTGCAAGCTGTGACCTTAGCCCGCCCCATCAGTCTGGAGATGGATCTAGGGCGGGTTCAACTGAATCCATTACTCTAAAAGTATACGTATGCAAAAATGAAAATTTAAAATGTATACATCTAACATGATCACATCCTTCAACGCGCCTTTCACACATAAAATCTTTGTAGCCTTTATCTATACAAGATTTCGGAGAAACATAGTGTGTGGGATGGAACAAAGTTTACAAGAAAACACATTATTCGTGTAACTCGATGTACCTGAAAGATCGATAGTCATGTTCTATCAGTTATCTTAGAATCAGTTCTTTCCGAGTGCCTCGAGGGAGAATTAGTGGACTCCCTCGAAGAACTATGTCCGAAAATGTTGAACTTTTTACCAATCCTTTTGGAGAAAGATTTCATGAATCTTCGGGAGCTGGATTTCTGCATATCTCTCTTCATACAAACATGATCTTTCTCCAAGTCATTCAATCTCATCCTCATTCGCGCTAGCTCAAGTTTTAGCTCCCTGTTTTCTCGTCTCAACGAAGCATAATTGTCCTTGGGAGACATTGCTGCACTAAAAGCACCACTGTTTATCCTCCAAGATTGATGCATTGGCTTAATGTCATCATCAGGATACGAGCAAAACAAGGCGTTTCTTAGCCTTAATTGCTCGAAATAGAGAACTTGAACGATTGATTGTAGAGGAAGACGTTCATTTTGTGCAGCGTGTGCACCAGCTTCTTGTGAGAGTTTTTGGAAATCAATCGATTTGCATAGTCTCCTCTTATCTGGATCTGATAAAGTTAGATGAGCCTGGAAATGTGAATCCATGAAGAGTCTTAGTAATTATGAAGACTATGTTGCTCGGACTTTCCAAAAATATCATCAGGTACGTGTCAGATCCTCCAAAAGTAGTGCATTTTTGGATGAACGAACACAGGTGCAACAACAACATTTTGGGAGAGTCCGCTCAACATATTATATGAAGGATATAGGTCTCTCATTCAAACCAACAAAACTTTTTCAATCATATCTCAAATAAGTTGAGGAATACATACTTTGAGGTAAACGTCGATGGCTCGATAAAGGCCATCGTGTACACTACGCGCGTGTGCTGGTAATGTTTCTGCAACAGCAATGAACTTGTTCAGCTTCAGATTTGCATCTGGTGCAATTTCAGCTAGGTAGTTGTCAACCAGCTTTGATACTTTGAACAGTGCAGTTTGTGATGGCGTAGCAGTAGGGCTATCCGATTCAAAAACCGATACATCTTCCATCTCATCATCGCTATCGCCTTCCTGCTGTGAAAAATTAACCAAGATCCTATGCACTGTGTCAACATCAAACATTGTATCACCAGCATGACGAAACGAAGGAATTAGTATGTCATCCAGAGTTGCTATATCCAGTTGAGATCCTATCCGTCTCTCGAGATCAAGCCTACAAGCAGCATTGCAGTCTAGCATCACAGCACTTCGCAACAATCCAAACAGAAAGCTCAAGGGAACGACGAATTTCTCAACAGGCATCAGGCTAACAATCGTCTCAACCACGAGTTTTTCTTTTGAACCAGAAATGGACTTTTGTATTAACTCCTTCTGTGCATAGCTTACTAATGATGCTGCAATGCTTTCAGGCCTAACACCGCGAAATTTCATTGCAGTTATGACACGTTGGTACAAGTCGATACGAAGAACAGAAAGATCCTCAATCCACCAATCCCCTTCACAATTGGCTTGTTTACTCATATGCAACCTCCCTGAGCTACTATACTCCAAACGCGAGAAACTTGAAGCGATCTGCTCAACACAAGCTTTTGAGGCTACAGCATCGATACATCTGCTAACGATTTTCAACTCATCAGCAAGGGGGAGTAAGTTTTCGGATTGTCTCAAGACTTCAACACACATTTCAAGATTCTTGCAGACAATGCTGTCGAGATACTCTTCAGCTCGAGAACCAAGATTGTTTTTCGAGTGATCCTCTGACATCTCGAGGTAATCGGATACACAACAGAGTTGAGCAACATTTGATGAAGTGATCTCAAAGTTGACACCATAACAGAATTTGGCTGCTAGTTCAAATGATTCAGATCCACCTGGTAGACTAACAAGCTCAATTCTTGATATATCAGAATCTCTGTGCTCTGCTACAAGCCTCCGAATTCGTCCACTTCTCGACACAAGGGGAAACTGAAATCATAATTCTCATATTGTTAGGGAATTTCTACTACATTATGGTATCTGAAATTGCTCATATGCATGAAAAAACTGAAAAAAATTGAACATTGATATTATTGGAGACTCTGTATCAGATTTCTTTCTACTGTTCAAGTGGATCAATCGAATGTGTTCTGTTTGATAAAAATCATCAACAACATACTCAGTGTAATTGGAAAAGTGGTGTCTGAGGAGGGTAGAGTGTAGGCAGACCTTATCCCTATCTCGTAGAGATAATGAGAGTGTTTGCGATAGACCCTCAGCTTGAAACAAAAGGCATTTGAAAGCAATTTTAAAAGAGGAATACATAAATGAAAGCACTAACAACAATGAAATAACGTGAAATGGAGAATGGTACACAAATATGGAAGAAAGAACAATAACAATAACAATGAAATAATGTGATATTCGAATCACAAACAAATACATGAGATAAATTCAAGTCGAAGAACAAAAAACTATGAGAATATTGCTAATACTACTAGTAAGAAAGTAGGTACAAGTACGACCACCAAGCCTATCCCGCAGAAAAGCAATGGAAAGGTCAACTACCTACCAACTTTCTTTCCTAATCTGCGCCCTCCAAACCCTCCTACCTAAATAAACTTGAATTGTTGAAATGTTGAAAAATTACTTTGTAATGTACATGGTCAACGTTATTATTAATGTATATATAGTAGATGTTGAATTTCTTAGCATCTTCGTGTGCCTATTTCTTTATATTTTGAATCCCCTCAGTGAAAATCCTGATTCCGCCACTACTGATGTTGAGAGTCAGGTTCAATTAAACCCATCATTTTTTCAACATAGATCATAGATGTATACATGAAAACTTCGAAAAATGTAGACTAAATATCAAGTATTGAACTCAATATTTCAAACAATTCCAAACCTCTAACACGTCAAGTTTAAATACTGAATTTGCGTCTGATTAGCGAAGAAATTGGGGGTGCCTTACCTTGTGCAATGAAAATATGGCACCATCCACTTCTATTGTTATATCACTTGGAACATCTCTAAATACCCTATATGACAAGAAAAACAACCAATTAGCCAAAAAAACTTAAAACAACTTTTTTTGTTGTGAAAATGTGAAATTTCACCTATGAGTCAACCAAGTTATAACTAATATACACTGACAATATAAAATCGTATTTTTTACACCATCAAGTTACTTAAAAACCGATTAATGTAGATTTTGAATACAACATTCCGCCTCCTCCTCCTTTTTATTGACTGACGTTGCCACTCAATCTAACGACAATAAAACTGTCTCCTCTTTATAGCAAAACATAAATTCATATACATGCAAAACACAATAAATGACCTATGACAACACATAAACTAGAGTCATAGCGTTTTCTTTATACTGTCAGTGTATATAATATACGAACCATTCATTGTATCTTTGCCTTGATGCTGACTTGGTTAGAGGCATTTGATGGTGGTGGTGCTTGTCCATGGACATGGTGAAAGAAAAAAAATTATATTTGAATTTAGAGAAATTAAGAAGAAAGAAGAATGTGAAAGGTTGTTAAAGAAAAACAAGAAGAGAATAAGAGACAAAAAACACAAGTAGGAGATTTTGTTGTTGTTGGTTGAGTAGTTTTTTCGCCATTTTTTGTCAAAAAGTTTGGCTTTTGTTTTCAAAAATCATAGATTACATTTGTCTAAAGCAATGGCCTCTCTTGTGGGACATGTTTTTATTAGTAAACTAAATAATAGCGACTTAATTTAAAGAATTTTCTTTAAATTATATATATCGTTCTTTTTAGAGATAAAACTTTTTAAAATGTGGAATTTGTAATTTAGAAAATAGTTCAAGTTAAATATAAGTAGCGTAAATCTTTTTTACCGTACAAGTTCAATATATTAGAGGATATCTACCGTAAGCTTCTTAAAATGTGAGATTTATAATCTTGAAAATAAGATAGATTATCTACTACAACAAATAAAGATAATTCATTGGTGTAAAAAATTCTTATACTGATAATGTATATAACTTAAACTCAATTGGTAATAAGATAATAAGTTGCTCAACCAAGTAAATATGACCTTAAACTCTTTATTAATTTAATGTGGTATATTATAGTGTAAATATTTTATACTATGAGTATGTTTGGTATAAAGGGAAATGCTTCTTATGACATTATTTTCTTGTGTTCGACATGTAAGGAAAAAATATTATTCTTAAATTATTTATATATAATCTAGATAAATATTATAATTAAGGACTGAGGGTCAATGTGGAGGTAAGGATGAGGTGTTTAAAGTTTGAAGAACATAATCAATGTGAAATGTCACTTGTGAAATTTATTTTTCCTGCTTCAATTAGAAAAACTTTTTTCATCAAGATAATTTTTTCTAAAAAGTATGTTTTATTTAACATAAATTGACCTACAAAATATGAAAAAAATTCAAAATACATTTTCCACCATTCCAAATCGCAAAATTTGGCTTTTAGAATTCAATCACCTTTTTCACATTGGCAATGTTTATTGAAAATGAAAGAAGGAAAATTGGGGAAAATAAGGAAATAAAATCAAGAAAAATGTAAAAAGATAAAGTTGTGCACTTTTTAAAAATAATTTATCAAGATCATGATTATCCTTTACCCACCACATTTATCTAAATCATACATACTTAGAAACAATTTTTTATGGGAGGGCCCAAAGTGTTCCCATTAATTGGAATATAATCAACTTTTGTTGACTTTAAAAAACTATGAATATGATGGAACATGGTATAACAATTTTTATTTTATTTTTTAAATTTTAAAAAGTGTGTAAAAATTTCCCATCTTGATTTAACTTTTATTATTATAGTCCTTGTGATATCTATCTAGACACATTTAATCTTGAATTACTTGAACTATGCACTTTAATTTCTTTACTCGTGAATATTCACAATTTAGAATCATTAACTGTTTCACTATTTAATTATACATATGTTATATTAAATTTGTATCATTAAATCATATTTAAAGGTAATATACTTCTAAAAACAGTACAATACACATTTTAATTAATTAAAAATTAACCCTATTGACTTGAATCATATGTCACAAGCTAAGAGACAAAAACAAAGTTCATCATAATTAAAGGATCAAAAATACTATTATTCTAGTGCAGTTAGGCCTCTTTATAATAATAAGCATCCTCTCTAATAATATTTCTCTATAATAATCATATTTTCTGTGAAACTGATCTTTTACTGTATGTTTGTTATAATAATATTTCGCCATAGCAATAAACTTATCATAACAAGTGACGCCTTTATATAGAGGTTTGATTTGACTTTAGAAAAATGCAGCATGACAAATAAAAGTAGACGGAGGGAGTAATAAAGTCAAATTCAATGAATCACATTCAGACTTTATGAACACAAGCATGCTCAATAGCCACAAACATACCACCTAATTGTACTACACATCTTCACATGAGATTTAAATTAAACCTAATGCTCATTCATTTTTTCCTCTTGTATTTGGTATTTATTTCGGGACTCGACTAACAATAATTTGAATAAAAATTCCAATTAAAAACAAATTTTATTAAGATCAAGATCTGAAAGAGAGGATTTAATTTCCAAAATTCCAACTCATCATATAAAGAAAATTTAACAATTAAAAAAAATATCAACCCTAAAGAAGACATATAGGAGATGAGTGGATATATAATCATTTTACGCATGCACTCATAAAGTTATTTTGCTGCTCAATATCCCCCTTAAAGTTCAAAACCTTTTGAATTAGTCCTCTTATTTATAGGGATATTTAAAATATAAATTTGATGAATTTAATTTTTAATATTTTTATTACTAAATTCTATTACATATTAAAATTGGACGGGTTAAGTTATGACCTGACTTTTAATCCATTTTGACCTAATCTATATCAATTCAAGTAACATTTGTACGTGTCACTAACTCAACCTATTTTGATATGCTCAAATTCAATATAATCCGTCTATTTAAACACCCCTAGTCTCTATTTTAAACAACACCCTAGAAGCCACACATTAAGTTAGAGTTTGACTATCTCAATTTTAAATAGCACCCAAGAAAGCATTTGCTAAGTAAAAGTTTGACTATTTCTATTCTAAGCACACCCAAAAAAGCAAACGCCAAAATTATAAAAAATAAAAAGATCCCTTTTCCAATTTCCAGCTTTTGTTTGTATCTTTCAAATTGGTGGAGCCATGCAAATTATATCTTTGTCTGAATTAATGGGGATAAAATCTTTTTACTGTTATTTTAACTGATTGATGTTGTAGCATGCCTACTATCATTGTTCATATATTACATCCAATTAAAAAATAAATAAAATGAAAGTCATTATTATATATATAGGTATAGGGTACTCTATAGACTAGCTAATTATATTGTGTCATCATTAATTAGACTATAAACCTTATCATCAAGTTTAATAATTTCTAATTTAATTAATTGTTCATTAATCTTGGGAGAATTATCTCTTTAATTGATATTTATGGCATATGCATCATCTATATTTGAAAATAATTTACAATTGATTTCTCAAATGATATCATTTTCAACCTCTTTCTTTTCATTTTTCGCTTTCTTCCCACTCCAACTCCCAAAAGGTTCAATAGTGGTATCACTTATCCTATCAGTGTATCCCGAGTCCTCAATCTATCAATTGATGATGGAGGTGCTCAACCACTCGAGCAAGCCTCACTTGTTAACATTTCAACCTTAATTGTGTACGTGTGAAGTTAATTTGCTTCCACAAATAATATGTCAAACTTTAAAGAATGTTTGTTAATGTTTTGCAACTTTAATTGTATATATTCAAAATTAATTTAAAGTGATTTAAACTTACAAAAGTTTATAAATGTTGGCTATATCTTAAATATGGATCCTAAAATCAACTATATGTTCACTTGGCCCAACATAAAATAAAATAAAAAATGAAGATCCAGCAAAAGGGATGGGAAAGCCCACTAATTGTATTTTTTAGTTTGGGCTTATTATATATTTATTTTGGGCTTAGATGTTAATATTCATATGGGCTATTGACATGTATATACATTTTTTTAGATCAAATTAATATAATTTTAATCAAATATTTATGGAAAAATTACATAAATCTCACCTTTTAGTTTACTTATTACCATTATCCCCTATAAGTTTTACAAATCTCCAAAATCCCTCATTTTCGCGCATCAGATTAGTGTATCAGCGCTTATATTATTTATCTCGCGCATCAGATTAATGTATCAGCGCTTATATTATTGTATCGCGCGCATCAGATTAATGTATCAACGCTTATATTATTGTATCTCGTGCATGTATCAGCGCTTATATTATTGTATCTCGCGCATCAAATTAATGTATCAGCGCTTATATTATTGTATCTCGTGCATGTATCAACGCTTATATTATTGTATCTCGCGCATCAAATTAATGTATCAGCGCTTATATTATTGTATCCGTTTGAGAAATTTCTGTAATTATAAACTTTTAAGGAATAGATTGTAATTTTGCCTTAAAAGTATGTGATTTCTGTAATTTGCCCAATATTTTTTTAGCAAACTAAACCTAAAACAAATATTGTAGTTCATTATCCACACAAAAGAAAGTAAATACGATTTTTGTTCACCTATCCTTGTTTATGTATATCATGCTTATATTCTGTTAAATAACTTATATATGACAAGTTATATAAGTCTTATAAGATACATACATTATGATATACGTGTATGATATACATTATAAATTGTATAATTATACATATTTTGCCTGTTTATTGTCAAAGAGAAGAGTTTATTGGTTAAATGTTTCTCTGGGTGACAATAATTTTTATATCAATTATTGTAGATAAATAGAATTCAAAAATCAATAGCAAGTACAATACAAAAGTTACTTCTAGTGTGTTGATTATCAGATAAATCTCTCTCATACTAAATAGTACAAATTAAAAACGAGTTGAGTGACGAATAACATAAATATCCCTTTTAGACTGTTTTGTAAAAAAAAATTAGTCATGAAGAGCTAGATATATTGTTTCGAGCTCCTATGTTTACGAAAATCATTTGCTTGAAACCCATTTTCGAATCGTGGCTTATAAAAAGAGATGAATTTGAGATAACGAATACGGCTTGAAATGCTTATGGACGATGACATTAACATTCTTTATCAACGAACACAACTAATGTTGCGGCAGACACCTTCAATCGATATTTCACAAAGTTAATTATATGAGTTGATTCATATTTGATTCGATTTTATTAAGTCTTTCACTCCATCTATTTTCAATTGTACGAGTTAGATGTATACTTAAATAGTTTATTCATTTTACTAATACTAACTGCCACAATATATGCACATCACAATAATTATTTTAACTATTTTTTTTAAGGGACACCAAATTGGGTAGTAATAAAATGAATTTTTGTACAATATATTATGTCATTCAAATTGGGGACCATGAATTCTTGTGTTTTTATACATAATCATGTGACCTCACAAAGGCCATAGACTAACATTTTAATTATGTCTTTAGTTAGTTAAGATATTGTCGTTTTGATTCGATTTTTCTGAATTACTTTTAGAAGATTCGAATATTATAAAAAAAAATAATAATATTTTAACCTTAAAAAATCTTAAATTATATGATGCAAAATTTATTTTAAATGAGTTTCATAGTCACATT